GAGAGAGAGAGAGAGAGAGAGAGAGAGAGAGAGAGAGAGAGAGAGAGAGAGAGAGAGACTGTGGGATTGCGGGGGTGTATGATACTTCTTCATCTGTCCCTCTGAAAATTTTTGCATTCAGAACTGCGAGTTTCGTCATTCGCATTTTTGTAATCACAGACGGATGTCTGATTGTATAAATTATGCTCTTTCTTCGGAGTGCCTCTCACATTTCTTTCCTTATTTGAGTGATGCTAGATATGGGTTTTTGATAACCGTTTTTATTATGATTTCGATCGCTTATATCTGTGTGCGCTCACTTCCTGATTATGATTGCCAAAACATGGAGGTTCGCTTGAGATCGGTTTGTTGAAATGAAAGAGAAGAGATGGTAGTCGTTTTTCTTGTTTAATGTCTGCTGAATGGAACTTATGTGAATTCTTGCATGCGCTACGACTCGCCGACAACCCGACCCGTAGCGTATACTCGCGCTCGCATAATCCTCTCCTGGCGGGTCCGCAATTACCAATCTGCAAGAGTAGATAGGTAGGCCCGCCACGGGTACAAGCCCGTAGCCTTGAAATTCGACATCTGTTCTCAACCACAACTGCACACGCTAACAACTGACGGCGCCGAAAACTCAGAACGCCCCTTCTCGCTCGGACCACTTGCATCCTGGTCCTTGGAACATTTGCACCGAAGATTCCAGTTCCGACCTGGGACTCCACCCCTTTTTCCTAAAATCTTTGGCACACCCCCTTTCTCGCTACTTCCAGACCCATTATCCACTCCGATCAGGAAGTCGCGCTGGGCGTGAGGTTGGGCGTCATACACAAGCCGCAACAGAGCAAAGGGTTGAGGGCATGGGGGAGGTGCGCCAGCAGACAAACAGCAGGAGGCAGAAAAACGAGGTGGCAACAAGTCGAGGGGCACCAGGGCGGTCAAGCGGCAGCACATAACGTAGGCTGGAGGGCATGGGGAGGCAGGTGGGCAGGCAAACAGCACTAAGCAAGAAAAGAACGGACGAGAAGTCAAGAACCAGCAAGGCAACAAGACAACAAGGCAGAAAAAAAGAACAAGTAGCAAGAAACAGAAGCAAGAACAAAAAACAAAAAAACTGATGATAGATTGTTTCGTCGGAATTGCACCGACTCGTCAGGAGGCTGAACCCTCGACAATCTGCGGAATACCCATATTGATACTTTGGGCCATGAACCCTTTGACCCTTGTCGAAAGTAGACTGGCAGCAGGAAACATCGCAAGCGGAACAAGGCACGGGGATGGGCAGCAAGGCAACAGTGCAGTGAAGCTCACGGCAGGGAAGCAACAGTGCAGTGAAGCTCACGGCAGGGAAGCAACAGTGCAGTGAAGCTCACAGCAGGGAAGCAACAGTGCAGTGAAGCTCACGCCAGGGAAGCAACAGTGCAGTGAAGCTCACG